GGATTTCTGGTATAAGAAATAGTTTCCCAGAAAACATATTCTCAAATCCCGATCTGATCTGAAAATTGGCCTCTCTTTAGTTAATTAACCAGCGAACAAAACATGCTACGAAGCTGAGCAAGAAGAGGGAAAATTGCACGCACATCTAGACAGCAATGCTTTTCCTCTGACAAACGCCTAGGTCTGGTTTTTAAAATATGCTTGGTAGATTATTAGGAGATCCTGGTATTTTCTAACATGTTACAGTAGGGAATATGAGGAGTGGAGGAGAACTGCTGCTCGCTCGATGGCTGAACAGTCAGCTGTGTGGATCTTCCTTTTCTGCTCCCTAGAAATTAACCATCACACAGATAGGAATGGTAAAAAACATTTCCTGAATTGGTTCGTCTATTTTAGAGAATTTAACCATCAGCCATCCTTAAGGGTATGGAAGTATACTCTGTTTAAAGAATAATGTATTTTGTTTCTACATAATAATAATTTATAAGTCACAGGGAAATAACTGGCATTGTCACTACGTCAAATACTATACTATGTACCTAACACTGATCTGAGGTGCTTGTGTTTACTCAATTCTTCCCCACAGTAACCTTTTAGGTAGAAACTATTTTTGTTTCCATTCTACAGATCTGAGGCATAAACTGGTTTTAACAACTAGCGTGAGGTCACAGAACTTGCCAGGGCAGGGCTGAGATTTGAACCTTGGCAGTGTGTCCCTAGAGTTTGTGATCTGACCATTCTTTGGCCCTGGTTTATTGGAGGGAGTATCCAGTCTAGGCTCTAGATGAAATTGAAAGCCATGGATTAAGCTTTCTTAATCAATGGAAACACAAGCCAAAATTTACAATTAACCCCACACTGCTAGAATAAATAGAATTATACTCAGACTGGGCTTTTGGACCTATTGTTCATTGAGAAAGACCTTCAGTAAGAAAAGTAAAGTAAAATTAAACGATGACGCAGGGATACAAAGGCTGGTACTCTCTCTCAAAAAGCTGGACCTGGCCTGGCCAGTCAGATTCGCCTATGCATGAAGGTTATTTCCAGGGTACAATCTCCACTGCTGGGCATAGGCTGAGTCTCCAGCATGATGTGACTGCTTGTGAGCACTGTCTTAAGAATCCGTAAAGGGTTTTTTTGCAAAGCTGTTGTGCCCTGAAATGCTTCATATATAAGCATCTGTATATTAGAGATTGGGTTTGGGAGACCCAGCCTTACATCTGTCTCTGAGAGATTCACAGTGACCATAGGCCTGTTCCAGATGCCCAAGAAGCCCCTCACTAATGAAAACTGTGCAATCTTTTAAATCCCAAAGTGCAGATATCTGTTTGATTTTGAAATGCTTTGTTTCTTAGAATACTTGTGAATCTACCTGTAGAACTAACATTTGGGAAATGCTCCTGAAAGCTGAGCATGTCAGTGAGGAATAGGACACAGAGAGAGGGAAAGAATGAACAGGAAGGAGGATGCTTAATACATACACATCTATACACACAAGTTACGCAAGGAAAAAATGTATCAAAATTGTAACAATATATACTGATGTTTGGTATCTTGTATCTCTAATAATTGCAGAAGTCAGAAGCTAAACATGACCTGAGTATTACAATTTTAATATAGTTTTTTTCCTTTCTCAAAATGTGTATACTTCTTTTGGCATCCTCAGCATATCAGAAATTTTGATTATATATGACAAAACTGCAGGCCTGACTTATTAGCAATCACAAGTATAGTGAGCCTAGGACAGATGTTTACCCACACAATGTCTCCTAACTTCTGGAAAGGGAAAAAGGAGCACAGTGTGTTGTTATGAACCAGACAGTCCAAGATGAGGGAAGATGATGAAAGCCTATAGGGATTTAATACACGTGGACTTTAAGGGCTAAAACTATCATAATATTCTGGATTTTCTTTTCTTTTCTTTTCTTTCTTTCCTTTTTTTTTTTAGAGACAGAGTTTCACTTATAGCCCTCCATAGAGTACTGTGGCATCATAGCTCACAGCAACCTCCAACTCCTGGGCTTAGGTGATTCTCTTGCTTTAGCCTTCCGAGTAGCTGGGACTACAGGTGCCCACCACAACACCCGGCCATTTTTTCTGTTGCAGTTTGGCCAGGGCCAGGTTTGAACCCACCATCCTTGGTATATAGGGCCAGCACCCTGCTCACTGAGCCACAGGTGCCGCCCAATGTTCTGGATTTTACGTATCTTTTTTTCCTTTGAGACAGAGTCTCATTATGTTGCCCTCCATCGAGTGCTGTGCCATCACAGCTCACAGCAACCTCAAACTCTTGGGCTTAAGTGATTCTCTTGCCTCAGCTTCCCAAGTAGCTGGGACTATAGGCACCTGCCACAATTCCTGGCTATGTTTTGTTGTTGTTGTAGTTGTCATTGTTGTTTGGCAGGCCCGGGTTGGGTTTGAACCTGTAAGCCCCAGTGTATGTGGCTGGCACTCTAGCCACTGAGCTATATAGGTGCTGATCCAAGTATCTTTTTTTTTTTTTTTTTGAAAAGCAACAAAAAAACCAGAAGAAAAATTAGAAAACATGCAGTTTCCCATGAAGCATTGCAATAGACAGTATCTTTTTTTTCTTTTTAACTCAATGGGAGGTTTGATTTCTTTCTTAAAACTCCTAAGCAATAATAGGGAAAAAAGTTCTAGCAGAGAAATGTATGAATTTTCTGCCTTATCTAGAGACACAGACAAAGATATATAGTTTTGAAAACATCTTCCCTTTTACTTCATGTTCTCTAGAGTTTCTAGAATCTTTATATAGAATCTCAGGGTAACAGGGAGTTGTTGTAGGGAAAATCCTCCATCGCCAGGAGTCCTGTACCCACCCACCATGCTTTACGAGAATCTAAATTCACCTCGGGGGTGCTGTGGGAATGCTATTTATGAGCATATATTACTGTTGCAAAGATTGTAAAGTAGAGAATGATTTGTGTTTGAGGCTATAAGTTCATTTCTTTGAATCATTTCAGATGGGCAGAGAGGGAGGTAGCTAAAAATATTTAGAAGTTGAAATATTAATCGGAGCTAACAGCACACAAAGAAAACTGGTCTGCAGCATGAAGAAAAGCCCATTTGTCAAAGCAGTGGGCTCCAAGTTGAAGGTGGGGGCAATGAGGAACCTGGAAAGAGCAGGACGCTCAGAGTGAAAGGCTGAGACTTCACCTTCCACTTATGCCCCGAGCAGCACACACAGGCAGCCCCACTGATCACCTGCGAGGGGTGCCCTGCTGGGCCTGAAGCTCTGGAAACTTCCTAGTTCTTACTCCGGTCCCATGAGGCCTGGCTACATTTCATTGCTGTGAAATCTCTAATTCTTACAAGAATATTCATACTGATGTTCCCCCACATCTGAGTGAGCTCCCTTTCTCTTATACCCTCCCCCCAAAAGGTTTTCCAAGACTGGGAGTCACAAGATAAATGGAGAATTTCGATACCGTGTGGTGTGCTCACATACCAACCCCCTCCCCTTCTCCCCTTCCCCCTCTCCCTCATCTATCTGCTATGCACTTTTTTCTTTGGAAACTAAGCACAAAGCAGAATTAGAAACAAAACTAAAGATCAGCACTACATACACAGCCAATGTAAAGAAAAGTCTTTTACATAAGATATTTTAAAGTATTAAGAAGGGAAACCACTTTCAAAATAAAATTCTCTTTGAATATACATTGTTTGAACTATGCTTTCTTTAGGAATATCATTTTTTGAAAAATATTAAAATTAGGATATGTAAACCCATGATATGCTTGATCTAGTTGTTAACTAAACTGTTATCAACTTGTTTCTATTTCAATGAAGGTTCTAAATTCATAGAAATTTAGAAACATGCTGTTTCCATAGCAGCAGATAAAGAATGAAACCAAAAAGATTTTATTGATTTTAACAGGGCTTAGAGAATTTGTTCTCCTTTGCAGCTGTGAGTTTTTCTTTTCTTTTTTTTTTGTTATTAGTCTTCAGCACAACTAATTTTCTCTATTCCAAATGTGTTTAATAAATCATATATATTTAGAATGTAGGTAATTGTTACAATACTATACAATTAGACATTCTTATAGTAAAGTAGAATAACCAACATTCAATTCTTTTTTTTTTTTTTTTTGAGACAGAGCCTCAAGCTGTCCCCCTGGGTAGAATGCTGTTGCCTCCGCCTCCCAAGTAGCTGGGACCACAGGCGCCCGCCACAACGCCTGGCTATTCTTTGGTTGCAGCCGTCATTGTTGTTTGGCGGGTCCGGGCTGGGGATTCGAACCCGCCACCTTAGGTGTACATGGCTGGCGCCTTAGCCAGTTGAGCCATAGGCGCCGAGCCCCAACATTCAATTCTTAATGTCAAAGAGATTCTAAACTAAGGAACAAAATTAGACATTAGGATATTACATGTAGAGTCCAGTAGGTATCAAACACAGTAAAGCAGAGTGTTTTGGGAGCAGGGAGTCATTGGGGTGACTCATATCTGTTTTGAGTGTTTCTTTGTACTTGAAATATGTAAATTCCTGAAAAACTGGCCATTTAATAAAACCCCATTTCCCTAATGCTGTTTATGGTAGCTAAACATACTTCCTTGTAAGAGGTATAAACAAATGAACAAACATAAATAAACTGTAGAGTCTTGTAGGCATCAAGACTGTACATGTGATATCAGTTTAATATATGAATAAACATTGTATTCCAAATGCTCTTAGATAATTCATTAATGATTCAAAACACAAATAACATTCTCTGTTACTGTTGATTTTTTGAGAATCAGACAACTGAGAATCAGGCTTTTAAATATAAGCACTATAATTACAAAATGCAAGTTTCTTTGTGGGTAGAGGGGCCGTGAATAACTGAAATTAGTAGCATAAATGTTTCCATGTTAGCATGCTAAGAAAAGAGGGGATAGGCTTTCTTCTTTTGTATATTTTTAGTTTTCAGCTGTATGTTTTTTTCTAAGTTATTCTGATCTCTTAACATGTCTGTTTGTCCAAGTACAGAAAAATGGCTCACCTGTAACAGACATACATCCCAACGGGGCAATGAGAGTAATGGGAGCAAATCCGTAGGCTGCAAAGTTCCCTGTCTCTCCCACGGCCATCAGTATGACCCCACCCCACCAGAGCACACTCTTGAAGTATGGCCTTGGGTGTTCTTGCTGTGCCAGCTGAAGATGAGAATATTTCTGGAAGTAAATCAGAAAATAAATAAGAAAATTGTTCCACTCAATGAAAACTCATCTCGACATTTTTTGGTCCTATAAATTTGCATCATGGCTTTCAAATTCATTCTAAAATTAATGGAGATTATTACAGAACAATTAGTATGATCTCCTGTTTGTTCCAAACGTATTATGTATAACAGTAGAAGTATAAACTCACATTTATATAGCATTAGTTTAAAGAAAATTTTCACATATGTATATTGCTTAATTCCTATAACAACTAGATAAAATAAGTGTCATTATGACTATTTAAAGATGAGGTGGGTGTTTTCTGGTTTACTACACCAAAACACTTACCTTGGAATATTAAAAAACTACAGATGGGGTGGCGCCTGTGGCTCAAAGGAGTAGGGCACCGGCCCCATATGCTGGAGGTGGCAGGTTCAAACCCAGCCCCTGCCAAAAACTGCAAAAAACAAAACAAACTACAGATGCCAAAATAAAGATTAGTGAAATAAAGACAATAAATTACTGAAGAGAAACTTTTTGAAAGGGATTCATATTTACAGATTGAAATACCCTTGTAAACACAGCAAAGCAGAGTGCTTTGGGAGCAGGGCTGACTCTTACTTATATCTGCTTTGAGTGTTTCTTCGTACTTGAAATATGTAAATTCCTGAAAAACTGGCCATTTCATAAAGCCCCATTTTCCTAATGCTTTTTCTGGTAACTAAACATACTTCCTTGTAAGAAGTATAAACAAATGAACAAACAAAAAGAAGTATAAACAATTCCAGATTACTTAAAATTTTTTTTGAAAGAAAATGATGAAAGTACTAGAGGAAAACAGGAAACATTAAAAAAAAAATCTTGGCACAAGGAATACCTTCCTAAGCATAGTACAAATTCATAAGCCAGAAAAGCTAAGACTGACAGATTTTACTGTAATTTAAAAAACTATACAGAGAAAATACTACAAACAAAAGTAAAGCATAAAAAATAGAGCAGAGTCAGAGAAAACATTTGCAATCTATATAATGACAAAGGGCTACCATTCATATAAAAAGAATTCCTGTAAGAAAATAAGAAAAAGACAGACTTCAAGAGCTATAAGGATATGAAATAGTTACGCAGATGAGTAAAATTACAGGAAAAAGTTCTCAACCTTATGAATAACCAAAGAAATGCAAACAATTTAAATAATGAAATACTATTCTCATCTATCAGATGCCTTTCCCTCCTCTCCCCAGATAGTTAACGATATATGGCATTGAGAACGTGGGGAATGGTCACTGTCCAACACTGCCAGCGTGAATATAACATGGTACAGTCATGCAGACTTCAATTTGGCTGCCAGTGGCAAAATTTAAAAGGATACACTCTTTGACCTACAGCATGCTCATCTAAGTATGAAAGGTATATAAATCTTTGTATGACTACATATAGATATTTATTTCATTATTTGTATTAGCAAAAAAAAAA